CATTATCCCAGGGATTCAAGCTAAGTGTTGATGAGCTGAGCACACTATGATGTAGTAGCTCCCAATGACATTGAACACGTGTGTTTGGACGGTATATGCACCAATGAGCCAAGTTCTTACATCTAATTAATTAGGCTACAAGATGTTAGACCAATATATACAAATCTAGGTCTTGTTTAGTTGGCGAATTTTTTAGAAAATGATACTGTAACACTTTCGTTGTTATTTGGCAATTAGTGTCCAATCATAATCTAATTAGGCTTAAAAGATTCGTCTCGTGAATTTTGTCTAAACTGTGTAATTAGTTTTATTTTTTATTTATATTTAATGCTTCATGCATACGTCCTAAGATTCGATGTGAACAAAAATCTTAAAAATTTTTATAAAATTTTAGGAACTAAACAGGCAACTAGTTGCCGCATTAATTAAACAAATTACAAGACGTTCCACTAACGTGCCCCCACCTTGATAGTTTTACTCTAAAGCAGCCGACCAAACACATAATAAAATACAGCTTCGCAGTTTCTATGACTGACATGTGCACCCGCGTTATTCATAGGCCCACTGTCACAGGCACAGAACCAAGCAAGCATGTAGTCCAATGTGACAGCCCAACCAGGCAACCACGGAAACAGGCAGGCAACATCTTTTCCTGAAGGCAAAAACCGCAAAACAACACAGCACCAGCCACCAGCAACAGCAGCGAGGTTTCCCCCAATTCCCCATCTCCCGTAGCAGAGCACGCGCTTCCTTCTGAATCCCGGTCGCCATGGCCTCCGCACCGACGCCGCCGCCCCTCCTCCCGGTGACCAACCCCGCCCCCGGATCGTCCCCGGCCGCCGTCGGAGGCTCCGATGCGCCGATCGCTACGCCGGCCTTCCGGCTCTTCCTGAGCCGGCTCTCCGACTCGGCGCGGCGCTCGCTGTCCGATCGCCGGCCGTGGGGGGAGCTCCTCGACCGTTCGGCGTTCTCGAAGCCGGACTCCCTCTCCGACGCCACCTCCCGCCTGCGCCGCAACCTCGCCTACTTCCGCGTCAACTACGCCGCCGTGGTCGCCTTCGCGCTGGGGGCCTCGCTCCTGGCGCACCCCTTCTCGCTCCTCATCCTCCTGGGCCTCCTCGCCGCCTGGTGCTTCCTCTATCTCTTCCGCGCCTCCGACCAGCCTGTCGTCCTCTTCGGCCGGACCTTCTCCGACCGCGAGACGCTGCTGGGGCTCGTCGGCGCGTCCTTCGTCCTGCTCTTCTTCACCTCCGTCGCGTCGCTCATCATCTCCGGACTGCTCGTCGGCGGGGCCGTCGTCGCGGCGCACGGCGCGTTCCGGGTGCCCGAGGACCTCTTCCTCGACGAGCCCAACGCGGCCCCCGGCAACAGCGCGGCCCAAGGGCTGCTATCATTCCTTGGCGGACCCGGATCTGGGGTTTGAGGCGGCGGACGGCAAGATCTGGTAGGGTTCTTGGGCTCGACAAGTTCGTATTAAGCTAGAAATTGTGTGGATCTAGTCTTGTAGCAGTAGCTTATTGCTTCCCCTGTTCCTCTTCGTGTGTACCTACAGATCTACTCGCTTAGTGCTGGTTTCGATTGATGCACCGGCTTCTGCGAAGATCAGCAAATTTATCGAGATTTTACCCTATGGTTGAGTTTAGTGCCAAGTATTCGAGTACTGAGTTTGTGGTGTCAGACTTTCAATATGTATTGTATATTTGTATCTTCATTCGCACACAGTGATAAAACGTTAATATGCTTCACTCGTTTAGTTGTTCCATTAGTATTTCTTTGTGCTACTTGATATATGCTTGTGCAAACTTATGACAATTTCTGACCATGAGTGCTGAGGAGTGGCATGTGGTATGATATATGTTGCTGGATGCTGTATGTCTTCGCTTTAAAACCATGCTGGAGTATGATAAATTGTTTGATCATCTACTATTGCTTGAACTTTGTCTTGTTAACTGCTGATGTTGTCTGAAATAAGATTTTAAGCAAGAACGGACAATCAGTTCCATAATATTTTTGTGATAGTCAGGGTCCTAGTTTTTTTTAAATGTAGAATCCCACTATCAGACAAATAAACACTGGTGTGACAATCATTTTGAGGTGGTCTTTTATTGTTTCAGACCACTCTATCAGATTTTGATGTAAGTGGGAAAATTGTTGAAATTTTAAGATCAAGGCGAGGAAGATAATAAACTGTTACTGGGATTGGACCAGTTGCTGGTTTCCAGCTGATGTCCTGCAAATTGTTTCTGAAATCTGGTTATAGCCTTACACTGTTGTTGTTGTCTTATGTTTACTCTCACCGGAGATATCCAGGAAACTTTTGACAGATGGTTTATGAAATTATGAGCTGTATATTATCTTTTGTTTATTCTCATTGGAGTATGAACTTGCTAACTTTACTTGGTAGTGTCCTTTATTTTTTTTAGGGCTTAAGAGATGGAGCAGTAGTGCATTACTCAGTTTTTTATGACCAGTTTATCTTTTGCCCATAGCAATTGACGAACAGTTCTAGTTGATCTAAACTTATCTCAAAGTAACAGATTTCTTGTTTCTGAAAAAATACATCCCAGAGTTTATCAACTAACACTTTGGTGCCAAGAACCATTGCTATGGTGAGATTGGAGTTTCTACTGAATTTGCATGGGCAGATTGTCTCACTGTCGGCCTCCAGATATATCAAGGTGGTCTGTATTTTTCGTGTTGACTATGCAGGATATGTGTCTTGACTGCTTTGCTTAGATGGGACCGGCGGCGTGGTAGTATCTTGCTAACAATATTTTGTTAAGTTTGCTGCTGAAAATCCTACTACCCGGTGCAAGTAATTAATCTGCGACACATTAATATGATTTGTCTAATATTTAACGAAAGATGCAAATTGGCACAGGTTTGCGGCAGCACTGTCTTGTGATGTTTTTCTCTAGTCAAACACATTTTTTTTGTGTCGTCCCCCGAAGTGAGATCGCTGATGTTGTAAGAAATCCCCATCTAATCTGTATTGATATCCACCTATTTTTTCGTCCACTTCCCCTAGCTACTTGACGTTGGAAAGTTTTTTTCGTGTCTCGTATGAACTCATAATCCATACTCAGACGGATTTAGGACTCACATCTAATGATGATGAATAAGGAATCCAATTCTAATACAATATTGATTTACGCCCTACGTATCTCGTAGGTAAACCAAACTCAAACTCAAGACCTATGTTCGTACGAGTTAGAAAAACTCACAGCTCATATCTAGCGATGATATGGAGTCTGAGTCTTCTACGTATCAGGTTAGCCCATTATTAAAAGTCCAAATTTATTGTTTTTTTTTTTGCCCAGCTCAGTCACCCACTCGGAAAGTTCCCTCCGCCCGTTTTTCCTGTGCAAAACGTTACGTCGGTAAGTCCGTGTCTTTTTTGTTTTTACCGTTTGCCCTTTCTGGCTTTCCCACGTTTGGGTTCAGTGACTTTTTTTCGTTTTTATTTTATTGTTTTTATTTTATGCCTCCGGTTTGTTCTTATAAATATAAATTCTAAATATAGTATTATGGGTCGTTAACACTTGATTCTTCTTCAATAAAAAATAGATGTTCTTAAAGTTGTTGATGTAATTTTGATCAAAAATAAAACTTATGATTATTAGAAGATGGACCAGTCAATGGTCCAACTAGTCGAATCATGCACCGGAATGTTCAGCATTCCGTTCCAATCTATCCATGCTGTACGCGTATATAGTGCAATCCTTGATGAGGACTGTCACGTGGAAATGGACAGACCAATTTTTGGCATTATGACAATTAACTCCTTGTCAATTTTAATAAAATATTAGAATTCTCAAAAATAGCCAAGAAAACTCGATGTCTAACTGACCAACACAAGGACACTATGAAAATTAAAGTTTACGAGTTATGTGTCATACAATGGAAGAAAAATATACTACCTCTGTCCCCAAAAGAATACGATTCTAGCACAGTTTAACGTTTAGTATCTTAAGTTTGATCAATTATAAATAAAAAAGTATTCATGTTTATGATACTAAATAAATAATATTAGATTAATTATAAAATATATTTTCATAATAAATTAATTTAAAGACATAACTATAAATATTATTCACTAAAAATTTGGTCAAAGGTGAACTACTTTTTATGGCGCGCAACCCATAGTTGCATTCTTTTCAGGACGGAGGTAGTATATCAATATTGTGTTCTAATTCGATACAAACTTCAAAGGACAATGTCATATTGTTGCCAATATTAATTTATATTATGGATGCCATGGTCATCATAAAATTAGTTGTATTTTTAGAATTTTATTTATAGAAAGGAAAAACATAAATAAATATATAGATATATGTAACATTCTTGTTATCATTTCGCATTAACGTTTGATAGTTTTTTCTTTGGTTGCAACGCACGAGCATATATGACAGTATAATCTTAAAGAGCGCAACGATTCTTCTATGTGTGTTTTTCACTTCCCACGACGCCTTTGTGCCTCTCATTGTGTGGTCTCGGACCTAGATTCGTGATGCATACTCATACAAAGTTAGATCGCTTAGGTTTGTACGTCCAACGACGATATAGAGTTGATTCCAATATATATTGGAACATGATCCTTATATAAATATCTGAGTCACAAGTCATCAAGTGATTGTGTAACAAAGTCGTACGTTCTAATGTATGTGCACGTTTGCTAGTATTATATTAATTAATTAAGTATCAATAAATTCATTATCAGATGTATTTTATAATATATCTATTTATACTATTTTTAAAATTTTAACCTGCGACGAGGTAGTACTATTTAACTCGAGGCCGGAGGCCCCACCTCTCAAAACGCTGTCCCCCTTGCTTACCAATAACCGCGGCGGGGACACGCGACACCATCCACCTCGCCGCCTCCTGCATTCCTTCCGCCCATTGAGTCGACCGATCGATTGTTCGCGGCCTCCCCTAGTCAGATCCCACTCAATCGCAAGCGGCCAGGCCCAAACCCTACCCACCCCTCTCAACCAGCGATGATGGCAGCGGAGCCCTCGCCGTCGGTTCCCTCCACCGCCGCTGACGACCTCGAAACCCTCGCCCTCGACTCATCCTCGTCGTCCGCCGCCGCTACCGCCTCCGCCTCCACCGACCCCCTCCTCCGGCCACCTACCTCCCCGACCACCGCCGCGAGTGACGATCCCTTCGTCATCGACGACTTCCCCGACGAGGACGACTTCTCCACCGCCCCGTCGCCCAGCGTCGCCCGCCCGCCGCGCGCAGCCCGCGGCGATGCGGCGTCCCTGGTGTTCGCCAAAATCACCGTATCCGATCCCAAGAAGCACGCGGAGCCCAGCGGCGCGGGTGCCGCCGGTGTGATCCCGGGGTCCGGCAGCTACTTCTCTTACCTCATCACCACCCGTCTTGCTGGCGGCGGCGGGGAGGTCCGCGTGCGGCGGCGCTTCCGCGACGTGGTGGCCCTAGCGGACCGCCTTGCCGCAGCCCACCGCGGCCTCTTCGTCCCGGCCCGGCCTGACAAGAGCGTCCTCGAGGGGCAGGTCATACAGCGCCACGACTTCGTGAGCCAGCGGTGCGCTGCGCTCCAGCGCTACCTCTGCCGCCTTGCCGCGCACCCCATCGTCGGCCAGAGCCCTGATCTCCGCACGTTCCTCACGGAGCCTGGTTCCATCCCCGCCTTTCAGGGTGAGGCCCCACGGTACTGGACTACCACTGTGAATGCTGCTGCTCCACTGGTGCCGACGAAAGCTGGGAGGAACTTGTTTGGGATGTTTAAGGGTCTCAAGCAGACGGTGGTGAATGGACTGGTTGCAACAAAGCCTCCACCTGTGGAAAAGGAGACAGACAAGGAGTTCCTGGCGCACAAGGCTAGGTTTGAGGACTTACAGCAGCAGCTCACCACAACATCGCAGCAGGTATTGGTCAACTCACAGATCTTGTGAAATAGCTCAGTTGCATGTATTGGCCCTCAGGTCCTCAAGATGCTTCCCCTTTTACAGACATAATACAAAATTGATATGGCCAATCCTTTAACTTTGTATTTTATATATATGCAGGCGGAAGCGCTTGTTAAAACCCAAGATGATCTTAGAGAAACCACAGGTCACTTGGGAATGACATTGATTAAGCTGGCAAAATTTGAAAGAGAGCAGGCAACATGTAATTCCCTAAGAAGACGGTCTGGTGAAATCCATAATTTTGCAAATTCTGTTTTGAAGATGAGCAGGTCACAGATAAAATTAAACTCTGAAATTGTGAAACACCTGGTATGTTGATATATTGTGGACTCAATACTGGGAAAGTGTATCTTTTACTGGAATTATCTGACTCACTAACATTGTTTATGGCTTTGCAGGGTAGTATCCATGAATACTTGGAGATGATGATATCAGTTCATCATGCATTTACAGATCGCTCTAATGCTTTACATTACGTACAAAGTCTGTCAGCAGATTTGTTTTCCTTGCACACCAGGGCAGGGAGACTTGAATCTTCATCAGCAAGAGATATGGGGCATGAGTGGTCAACATATCAGAAAGTAGAGGGGTTGAAAGAAACAATAAGATCAGCGGAAGCAGCCAAAAGTGATGCAGTTAGAGAATATGAAAGCATTAAGGTAAGTTGCCTGAAAAAATGTGAATAATAATATTTTCCATTGAAAAAACTTAAGGAGCATGAACTTACCTAGGAAAATTACCTAAACATACACCTCATGGTTTTCAGTGCCGAAAAAGAAACGTGCACCTCTTAATTTTTAGTGTTGCAAGTTGAGCCATGCTTTACTCTTGACATCAAATTAGCACATCTAGCAAAATCAGTATGACATGATTAAATGTTGTTCTTATGATTAAATTTATATGCACAGATCAATAGGGATTAGAATAACAGACACCATGAGGCACAATTCTAAAGGGCGTACCCAGTGCAGAGAGCTCCCGCTCTGTGCGGGGTCTGGGGAAGGGTGTCAGTGGCAAGCCTTTCCCTCGCCTGTGCAATGCGAGGAGACCGCGACTCGAACTCGGGACCTTCCGGTCACAGGCGGTAAGACTCTACCGCTTGCACCAGGCCCGCCCTTTAGAAACACCGGTCACCATGAGGCACAATTCTATTTGAAAAAAAAAACAGATAGGAACAGGCAGACATCCCCTTAGGGGAAAAGAAACCCCGAAGAAACCTTGAATCTCAGTCTGACAGATCAATACCAAATCCAAGAAGGCAAGAAGTAATGTAGGAGATGTGGCTGCTGGGTATCCATGAACTCGTCAATTGTTTCTTGCTCTAGCGCTCCTTGCTGTCACCAGTTGTTTGTTCTCACACACCTCATTGGTTAATTCTCATCATCTGATTCCCTAGAAGATTAGAACCTGGGTTCCATGAGAATCACACATGGAGAGGCTTCCTTGTGTGAGGTCTGTGTGCTGTGGTGGGGGCGTGGGGCCTTGTGTGCCAGCATCAGTGCACACATGAAGGGTGAGGTTATGGAGACTGGCAATCTTGGAAGAGGCAGTGGAGATGGGTGAGGGCTGGCCCAGAACGTCGAGTGTCCAAGGAGACAGGACAATGACCAGAGATGGGGATCCCTCCCCACAACCTTATTCTTATGGGTCTGCTCCTTATCTCAATGGGCAAAGAATTTTTTCCCCATCCCTGGCCCATACTACCAGGTGTGGATTTGGGTAATGGGTATGGGTATCAACAACAACGGAACAATGCTATAGGCCTTCCAGTTTTCTTTTTAATTTTGCAGTTCTATTTTACGGAAGGCTAGAAACTAGAAGGGTGCCTAGGGATGCTGTATCCAAATGGAGTGGTATTGAGCTTGCCCTCCCCCCCCTTTTAGCTTGAGTATATGTTATGAGGTTATTTGCCTGATTCTGAGAACAGTAGGATGTTTCATCAAGTCATATAGTTACAGCAAACTCTGATATATCATCAAGTCATATTTGTGAAGAGTTCAGTGTTTGTGTAGAAAGTTATAATGCTCTAGGGATGGTAGGTGCCACTATGGCTGTTACTGAAATTTGAAACCTTATTGCCTTTAACAATGCAGGAAAACAACAAGATTGAAATAAAAAGATTTGACAAGGAAAGACGCCAGGATTTCATCGAGATGCTGAAAGGTTTTGTGGTAACTCAGGTAAGAGTGTTACGTGTCCAGCAAAGAAAGCCACTTTGAATATTTACATTGTACATTTGCGGACAAAAGGGAAAGAATCGTGGTACATAATGTTTTCCGCTTCAATTGTTTATGCAGGTGTCTTATTCAGATCATTTTGCTAATATGTGGACAAAGGTAACAGAGGAAACAGAAGTATATGCAAACAGGAGCAACTGATATACGTATAGGGAGTGTAGAGTAGTTGATTTTGATCAATTTAATTTGCTCCAACATCCAGCGACACAACCATTCTTATTCTTCCCCAGTTTTGCCACATTGGGTTGGTTGTAATGCCACATGAGTTATGTGCAGTCCTCGAGAACTGACGTGTGAGAACCATGCGCAAGATTTTTCTCGGTGATAACTAACAGTTAAGCCCAATGGTTGTTTATCACGTCAAATGACTTGCCATCCTGTTGTGTTCTTAACTTCCGTAATTAATGATGAAAGAGAGCTTAAATTGGCAAATGATTTCAAATGGAGAATGAAGCAGCTTTTCTCAGGTTTCACTGTTAAAAACTTTTCAAATCGCTATTTTGGAGACACGTTTAGTTGGAGGCCGGATTCGGCGCCGAAGAAGATAGAGTGGCGTTACTGAAAATAATTATTACACAAAGACACCTTTACTGTGAAAGGTAGTTTCTATAAATAATTTATTGTGCTATAAAAATCGTATCAATTTCTTCCATTGAGACTGCCCTTAATGTCCACGACCTATTATCACGTCACATGGAGTACTTATCCTGTTGTGTTCTTAACTTCCTGTGCACTAATGCACGTGTATCTTGGTTGGCATAATGCAAATGGAGAATGAAGCACAGAAGCAGCTTTTCAGGTTTCACTGTTTCAGTTTTTCACACTTTGCTGGATGGTGGATGCTGACAGGGCAGTCCAGCAGAGCTTGTGGCTGTCTTTTCTTATCCACACATCCTTCGCAATCTGCATGGAGTACTACCACCTGTCAAGAATTGGCGTTGAAAATGATGAGATCGCTCGGACGTTGCACATGAAACCTTACGAATTTGCTTCTCTCTCTCTCTAGTGTCGTTCCTCCCTGTGAATCGATTCGCAGTTTATCCAAGAGACCACGACATCCACGCCCAGCGATTTGAAGTTCTTTGCTCTCGCGATCAGCATAGCTCCAAGCAGACCGCCAGCAATGCTGTCGCACGCCCCATCTCGAAGTCCAGCCGCCCCCTTCAAACCGCGCCCCTCATCTGCCGGCTCCCGCCTCGGCGCCAAACACCTCACGGCCACCACCGCCGCCGCCTCAACCCGCCGCAGCGTGTCCGCCTCCGCCACCTCCCGCCGCGGCTTCCTCCTCTTCGTTCCCACGCTCGCCGCCGCATCCGCCGTCCTCCGCCCGCTCCCCTCCGCCGCCACCGAGGCCGATGACGCCGAAACCCCGGCTCCACATCCATCGCCCACCGAAGAGCCCCTCTCCCCGCAGCCCACCGCGGAGGCGGCGGCGGAGGCGGAGGCGGAGACGAAGCCTGAGCCCGATGAGTCGGCCATGTCGAGGGTGTACGACGCGACGGTCCTCGGGGAGCCGGAGGCGTTGGCAGAGGACGCGCGGGGGCGGGTGTGGGAGAAGCTGGCGGCCGCGAGGGTGGTGTACCTTGGCGAGGCCGAGCTCCAGCCCGACCCCGACGACCGCGTGGTCGAGCTCGAGATCGTCAGGGGCGTCGCGGGCCGCTGCGCCGACGCTGGGAGGGGCCTGGCGCTCGCGCTCGAGGCGTTCCCCTGCGACCTACAGCAGCAGCTCGACCAGTTCATGGACGGCAGGTGCGGTGTTGTTCTCCTCCTGCGGTTTACTTTATACAGTAGCTTTATTTGTTAGGATGCTTATGAAATTGTGGGAAAATCAGCTCTGCTGTTGTAGCTTTGGTTTCATACAGTCTCCAAAAATTATTGTGGCACCCCATGTCAAGAATTGGTTCCTCATGGCATTACTGTCCATCAATTTGAATTCAGTCTCGATTTGCATTCAAATTTTCCCAGTCAGGATTTGTTCTCCAATACCACTAAAGAAAACCAGTTACCACTCCCGTGAGGATTTTTCTCTCTCTCAAACACACAGGAAAACTGCGTATCCTTGTATCAATAGTGAAATAAAGAAAATAAAACACTCAGGAGAAGAGTGGGTTACAGCTTAGTTTTAAAGAAGTGTACAAACACTAGTAAGGAAAACACGACAAAAAAGGGTTCTTTAAAGTTCAAACGACTCCTTAACCCGACCTAGACCAAGAAATTCCCAAAGTTTCAGGTCCTCCAAGAACAGGCGCCTTGCATTTTGGACTGAAGGAAGAGCACCCTCAAAGACACAAGTTTCTTTGTGTCCATAAGGTCCAAGCTCCTAAAATGACAGCGCTGTTGAAACCCTTTCTCTGTGAAGCATCAACCAGTCTGCTGACCTTCCTCCACTAATCCGCAAATTCCGCTCATTTTGTCTAGGAACCAATAGGATTTAACACGAATGCCAAACTGACGGGCAAAAACACAAGAAGTAAGAATGTGCTGGACAATTCCATCTTCCTGATCACACAGAACACAGTCATCAGGGTGTGGAAGACCTCTTCTTGCTAACCTATCTGCAGTCCAACATTTATTTTTAATGGCAAGCCAAATGAACACTTTGCGTTTAGACAGGACCCAAGATTTCCACACTCCCTTTCCATCCAGGGTTCTAAAGTGATTGAACCATAGAAGAAGGCTCTGTAGCCGATTTGAAAGAGAATGAGCCGCTTGCCTCATGCTTCCATATATGTCGATCCTGATCCATGGACAATTCAATGTCTCCTAGGATATTCCATAACTGCAAAAATTGAGACAATTCTTCCTGGGAAAGCCCACATTTTATATCTCTTACCCAGTCATGGTTAGCAAGGGCCTGTGCAGCTGTTTTGGTATTGATGCATTTGTTTGGGGCACAAGCTACCACCATGGGAGCAAGATCAACCAAGGCATGGCCATGTAGATGTTAAGTATAATAGTAAGGGTATTACTGTAATTTCCTACTCCATTCCAAATTACAAGACGTTTTGGCTTTTCTGGATACATAGCTTTTACTGTGTATTTAGATTTAGATATACACTATGTCTATATACATAGTAAAAGCAATATATCTAAAAAAAAGCTAAAACGTCTTACAATTTGGAAACCCTAAACTAGTGTCTCTCATGCACTCTATATACAGTCCCCATTGGGCCTCAATGCATTTATCAAAAAAAAGAGGGGGGGATCTAAACCTGGAGCTTTGATACCATGTTGCGAATAATGGGGACTGAATTGGATAATAGTATTGAGGCCCAATAGGGACTATATATAGAGTATATGAGAGATACAAGAGGGAAACCCTAAACTAGGAGATTACACTAATACCCTTACTATTATACCTTAACAGTAGCCAACGATCGGACCAGAAGAAACTGTTTTCACCATTTCCAATCAGAGAGATTACTGAAATGGGAAACATGGTCTCACTTGAGGCTAAATTGGAATGTCCAACCCATGCTAGGTCAGTCCACACTGGTTATCCTCAACCACAACCATCTCATCTGCAAAGCTTAAGTCATAATATTTTAGATTTAAGATCCCCAGGCTACCGAGATCAATTGGTCTATTTACATTCTCCCAAGCCACCAAGCAGCACCCACCGTTAACTTCTTTTCTCCCCTTTCATAGGAAAGGTCTCCTGATTTTACTATGGCCTTGATCACCCATTTAGGTACATTCATGGCGACTAACAAATAGATAGGGATAGCTGAGAAAGCAAAACGAACCATTGTAGTCCTTCCAACCAGGGAGGCAGTCTGCAATCTTTTCTAGTTTTATATGGGCATTAAGTCACTTTTCCTGAAATTTTTATTCGGAATTGGAAACCCCAAATAGGTGCAAGAAAATTCAGAAGTAGGGTAATGTGAAGTATCTCCTACCACTTCCAAAGCTACCTTCATCATACCTGATAGGGATCACAAAGCTTTTCTGCAAATTAGTGTGTAGACCCGAAGCTTTGCCAAAGCAATCAAGAACCATTTTGGTGATATGTAATTCCTATTTCACTGGCTGTATGAATATGGCAACACCGTCTCCATATAAAGAGACCCGTTCTCCATATCTCCAGCAGAATGGTTAGATAAGGGTTGGAGAAAACCCTCCTCACCGGCCTTTTTGACCAATAAACCATTAAACACATCTATAGCTAATATGAAAAGCACTGGCGATAATGGATTGCCTTGCCTAAGCCCCTGCTGATGATTAATGGATTCACTAGGTTCACCATTCAAAATAATTCTTGCTGATGAGGTTGTGAGGAGATTTGAAATCAAGTTACACCAGAGCCAACCGAAGCCCAAATAATGCAACAATTCCAACAAGAAAGACCATGAAAATGAGTCAAATGCTTTTGAAATATCCAACTTTAGGAATAGGCTAGGAACCTTTCTCCAGTGTAACAACTTGATAGTTTGCTGAACCATCATATAATTATCATGAATACACTTATACACCTCCCAGGGACAAAAGCATTTTATTGGATGAGATCAGGGAGCAAGCCTGTTAGCCAAAATCTTGGCCACCAGTTTCAAAAAACTATGAACCAAATTGATGGGTATGTAATCGCCCCCATTGATAGCATTGAAACCATTATTGTAACAAGCATAAATTGTATGTTTGCTGCTTCATTAATAGTGTGGTCTTTTATCATGAAAAAGGGGTAGTATTCTTTGCACCTCATGGTTAGCTGAAGCTAATTGGATGTTGGCGAACAATTATATTCTATAAGGGAAAATGTATTTTAAGTAAGAACTTGACTCCTTTCAACAAATGTTGACAAGCTTATGCTTTATTTAGGATTGATGGCAGAATCTTAAAGTTATACACCTCGCACTGGTCACAGGATCTATGGCAGCAGTATGAACCTCTTCTAAATTACTGTCATGATACTGGAATTAAGCTTATTGCTTGTGGAACGCCACTGGAGGTGATTGCTAGCTACTTAGCTTTTACAGTGAATAAGCTAGTATGTGAATAATGTGGACAACCCTTTTTTATCAATAGCATACAGCACCAGTGATTCAAGTCTTGAAATGCTTGATTCCTGGCAAAGTTTTTCCAGTATATCTTGAAAGATGACGCTATATGTTTTGTTATATATTTTTCATTCTACATAACCTGATACCGTCTCTCTGCAGGTTTCTACACAGAGCTGCTTAGCAGGCATGCCATCAGCATGGTTCTAGTATATAGAAAAGTCCGTGCAAACTAGTGAAAAAACCTTGTTTTGCACACTTAAGATACAGTTTCTGTTATAGTGTTATGACTCATCACTCATGATTTGTATTCTGCTGAATGTGCATGTTACTGTTCTATACTTTGTTTTAGGCATTTATGCTTCAAATGCCAATTTTCGTTAGTCAACTTGGTAGAATATAAGGTCTCTTTCTTGAGCAGGTGAAAAGAACTGTCCAAGCAGATGGGATTAGAGCTCTCAAAAAAGCAGAAAGAGAAGCATATGCCCCTCCAGCAGGCTCAGGATTCATCTCTGGTTTCATGTTTGGCTCAGGACGGTCATTGATAGACAAGATCTCATCAATGGATGACTCTCTGTTTGGCCCTACCTCATATCTATCAGAACAGGCAAGAGTAGTTGATGATTATACCATTTCCCAGGTTATTACGAGAGAACTTAGTGATGGAGATCTTTCACGGTTGCTAATTGTTGTGACGGGTGCAAGCCATGTTATGTACGGGCCACGAGGAAGTGGTGTTCCTGGGAGAATATCTAAAAAGGTGCCAAGGAAAGACCAACTTGTGGTACTACTTGATCCTGAAAGACAGGTTATAAGGAGGGAAGGTGAAGTCCCTGTTGCTGATTTCTTATGGTATTCAGCGGCTAAACCTTGCACTAGAAATTGTTTTGACCGTGCTGAAATTGCTCGAGTGATGAATGCTGCTGGTAGGAGGCCTGAAGCTTTACCTCAGGTTTGCTGCTTGATCTTTCTTCCGGCCCATTGCAAACTAAATTTCTGTTTCCATGAAGCTTTAAAATTTCTTGTTGTCATAGACGCTAGCCTTTTATTTTGAGAACATAAGAAGGGTCAAGGAATACTGACCATGATTCAGGAAGAAAATCAATAGGTTGCATGCAATATTTTGTGTACGTTCCTATTAGTTTTTTCATTGGTCACTTGTATCCAGGATTAGGTCATCAATCTGTGCTGGGAACCAGTAGAAGGCAGGCCCTAAATATGCTTTGAGATCATGCCTTAAAAAAGGTGTCTAATAAAATGTAGCTTATTATTAATACAGTAAAATCTTTCTCCTTACAATATAAATGCTTTTAATCATTGCAATAAGATTTTTCTTCTGTTCGTAAAATTTTTCTATACTTGGTAGCAGCATATATTATTGAGTTTGACCAATTGAACTCTTGCACCGAACATTGCAGGATCTTCAGAAAGGACTAGATCTTGGTGTAGTTTCTCCTGAAATATTGCAGAACTTTTTTGACCTCGAGAAATACCCTGTTATGACAGAACTGATTCATCGATTTCAAGTAAGATTATTCCACCATTTTCACTTTACTCCTCAGTCATCTCTCCTATCAATTTGATTAGTTGAGGTTTCTGAACACTCCTTGATGCATACACTTCTCTTGATTATAAACCGAATAATTATTGGAAGCTAGTGATGTCTAAACATGGCTTAGACTGAATTTTGTTTTTAAAATCAACTTCTACAGGGTTTCAGAGAAAGGTTGTTGGCAGACCCTAAATTCCTTCAAAGATTAGCCATTGAAGAGGCCATATCAATATCAACCACTCTACTAGCACAGTATGAAAGGCGGAAAGGAAGGTTCTTTGAAGAAATTGACTATGTCCTCACAGATACTATTAGAGGATCTGTTGTTGATTTCTTTACAGTGTGGCTTCCTGCTCCTACTATTTCAGTCCTTCAGTATGCTGATGATGGTTCTGGTCAGAGTTTGGAGTTTGTCAAAGGCCTTTTAGGATCATTGCCAGATAATGCATTCCAAAAGAACATCTTGGGCCAGGATTGGAGTATCAAGCAAAGAATTGCAGCAGTATTGGTTGGTGGTTTGAAACTTGCCAGTGTTGGTTTCATTTCTAGTGTTGGGGCCGGGGTTTCCTCAGATCTCGTCTATGCTGCCCGAGGAATAGTGAAACCTTCAGAAAATGTGGAAACAGGAAGGAAGAGAGCTCCTATATGGAAGTCAGCAGCCGTTTATAGTTGCTTTCTTGGAACATCAGCAAATTTGCGGTATCAGGTAGTTTACGGAAATAACCAACTTTTGACTTGAAGACCTAGGTTCTATTTTTGGTTTATATTATATTTTTTCTAATCTCTTTCTACCTGAATGGTATTGACATTGTACTGATTTTTCTTAACGATTAGCAATGATTTTAGGTACTTCATACAAGTAATTTTACGGTTTAACTCCTTTAAATTTATTCCTTAGAAGCATGGCATGTTCAGCATTTTCAAACAAGACCCAGATTTTTGCCAATTTTTATGTGATCCCAGCTCCTTTTGGTTCAACCATGGGATGTCTGCCCCTCATTTTTTTAAAACTTTGATTTACAAGATTGTGCTGTTGAGGCCATGGTTCAAGACTTCACCTTTTTTTTTGAAAAAAAAATGCAATCTCTCTTACATATTCTCAATTTATTTGCAGTTCAACTATGGCATATATCTAGGAACAGGTCAAAAGGCCATGTCATGAAAATTTGATCTGTTTCCACTCTCCAGATCATGGGAATAAATTTAGTTTGCAATTATATGTTACAGTAGTTTTGTTTTCACAGTGTATCTGAATTTTCTTTTCTAACTGTGTTGAAGATTATTGCTGGTCTAGTGGAGTATCGACTAGGAGAGAGCCTGGTGACATACTACAACCAACCTCTTATTGCTGGTTTGTTGTCATTTGTAGCTAGGACACTGAACTCATACTGGGGAACACAGGTTGGACTTTTTCCCGTTTCCTTTGTTCTCTGTTGAGTATGTTTTAGTAGTCCTTTCAAGTTTTTTATAGTAAACAATCATGATTTTTAAGATATGAGAAACTTGCAAAGAGTAAGGTTGTTAAATCTTCCCGCATTATGATTAATGTACTTTTGCCGGTTTGCTTATCATTTTATCTTCATGCACATAGAACAAGTGTAGATAATGTTCTAATTTTTTATGCAGTTCTTGTTCACCATATGCCCATATTTCTAACACTTACCACTTAAAAATTAAGATGTGACTTTAGTGGAAAAAGAAACAAAATGACAAATATTTGGAAAGGAAAACCAACTTCCTACGACATGTTCAACATATAAGTATCACGGAAATGCGTATGTTGCGTTGGATTTACGGTCATACAAGAAGGGATCGAGTTCGGAACGATGATATACGCGATAGATTAGGGGTAGCACCAATTGAAGAAAAGCTTGTCCAACACCGGTTGAGATGGTTTGGACATGTCCAACGGAGACCTCCAGAGGCACCGGTGCGTAGTGGAATCCTAAGCCAGGATAGTAACGTGAAGAGAGGCAGAGGAAGACCGAAGTTGACTTGGGTAGAGGCAATAAAAGGAGATTTGAAAGGATGGAATATACCCAAAGACTTAGCCTTAGATAGGAGTGCTTGGAAAACAGCTATTCACGTGCTTGAACCTTGATTGCTTCTGCTGGGTTTCAACTCTAGCCTACCCCAACTTGTTTGGGACTTAAAGACTTTTTTGTTGTTGTTGTTGTGACTTGTTTGGACTTAAAGGTAGTCCTGCTGCTTGCTCAATTTTCTTTGGAACATTTTCTGATATTCTATAAGGCAATTGTCATCAGCTCATTGTAATCAAATTTACACCCTTGAAGGAAATTTCAGTTCATGTGTTATCATACTTCCTTAATATGCAAAACGCTTCTATGCAAAGGTTATCAGTTGTCCAACTAATCGCGATTAGTCACAACTAGTCTGGCTTATCAGTGCCATGGCGATCAGTTATGCACTATGATGGTTATTTGTGATTAATTGGGATGATCGTGCCACGGTGACTAGGGTCGATCAGACGATTTGAAAACATTTGCAATCTTAATGCTTTACACAAGTTAGTAGTGCTACCACATAGCAGTGTATTTTCTCTGTCCAAAGTCCTCACTGCCTATTCTTTTTACTGCAGCAATGGGTTGATCTTGCGCGGTACACTGGGTTACAGAAAAGTGAGGAAAAGCCTCCTTCTGCTGAGGCCACTATGCCACCTGATTCATCACACTTGGAGGGTTGTACGACTGAAGGACATAATTTTGATGACAGCAGCAATAACACCAACGAATCGACTGGTCCGAGCTAGTGATTTGATTACTTCACGGTGGCTGTGGATCACATGGCCTATGTTTCATAGACAGTGAAAGTGGCCACCTTCTCTGAGATTGAGCCCTGATCTTGGGATCACAAGGAGTGGAAATTTGAGGAAATAATTTTTTAGAAAAGGAGGTTTCCCCCGCTTTACTGAATTTGAGGAAATATTAATCACAAAAATTTGTTTATTTTCTTTTTCAGCGTTACCACCAGAGTGCACATACTGTTCTCATTTCTATTACTAGAGTAAATATTGTTTGTACCATGTACATCTGTAAGAACTCCTGCAGCCCCTAAAGGATGTGCAGCAATGAGGGCTGTGACTTGTAGCATTGCATGCTCTTAATTCTGGTTTAGGTTGAATATAATGGCGATACCAGAAAGTTTGACAGTATAGTTCTCTAAAGGAAGGTTGGCAGGTCCGGCTGTTGCAAACGCCAAACGGTTCTCTCTAGAGCCAGATGATTCAGAGAGTGAGCAAGTTATCCTCGTCATCTTCCGGAGAAATATGGTAGGTAAGATGGTTTCTTTCTCGAAGAACTTCTTTGTTTCATACTTTATTGTGTCACTGGCCAGCTATGGGCTCTGGCATGTTCGTCCAGTGCACTCGTGCTCCGTGCATAAGACATCAGGCTGTGATGGCTAGCCATGTGTCCATGGATACTAATGTACGTGGCATCTATTCTTGGAGCTGTCTGCATATATATATAGGGAGTGCACTCATCTCACTTCTGTGCAACAAGCAACTTTTTCAAGAAGATAGGAGAAGGGAATTATACTGAGGTTTAAGAATGGCGAGTGCACAGGCAATGGGGCAAGGAGAACAAGATCACTTTGTTCTGAAGAGCGGACACACCATTCCAGCTGTTGGTCTAGGCACTTGGAGGGCCGGCTCAGATACCGCTCACTCTGTTCAGACAGCCATCACCGAGGTATTGCTGCATGCGTCTCCTATTTACCCAAACTTTATGACTAACATATTTAGGAAAAGGATTAAATTATTAAATAGAGCACATGATTCTAGTTACCCGTAAGGCTGTAAACAGTGCGTAGCATAGTGTCCCACGGTCAGAACAAGCACGATGAGCTGTAATTTTGTGGAATTCTGATTTTAGTCACAAAGTTTGTGTTAATCATCGTTAAGTCTTATCTGCATCTTCTGTATTTGAGTATAGAATTACATCCTTTTGCTGTGGGTCTGGGACTTAAGTAAACAAAGATTAATCCACTTCATTCAGTCCTGATTCATGCTAGACAGAGAGTAGTGACTCATGGGCAGCAGTGCCCAAGTTACCGTCTTACCCATCGATGTGGTAAAGCAATAATTTGCTCAGACTTTGCCAGAGGGCAGAAATTGAAAATCGTACATAGTATCTGCAGACTGAAGGTCTTTATTTAGATGGAGGTGAACAGCCTAAAAGCCTTCACTGTTGTAGACTTGTAGCACTAGCTTGTACCTGAAGGATTTGCCATACTAGTCCGGTGTATAACCTGAATTCCGCAGAGCCTGCTTTTAATTCAGCGATGAAATCTGAATGTCTGGCTACCTGCAGGCTGGATATAGGCATGTGGATACAGCTGCTCAATACGGAGTAGAAAAAGAGGTACACATCAAAATAAAATCATAATCATGTTTATGTATTAACCTTCCTAGTAGCAGGTGACAGTATGTCATAAAACAACCTCTGTCAATCAGGTTGGTGGAGGACTTAAAGCTGCAATGGAGGGTGGGATCAACAGGAAAGATTTGTTTGTAACGTCGAAGTTATGGTACTTGTATGCAGAATTTATATGTTGTGCTGAATACCTAAATATCAGTAAATATTACTCCAATATGCAATATTTGATCAATATTTGACTGCTTCAGGTGCACAGAGTTGGCTCCTGATAAGGTTCGGCCAGCACTTCAGAAAACACTCAAGGATTTACAGCTGGATTACCTGGATCTCTACCTTGTAAGAAACCAAAACCAATGATTTAGTTATTGTTTCAACTTTCTTACTGTTATCTCAATTTTTGTAAGCTGAGGGACAGATCAATACTTATAGCTTCCAAGTTCTTCTACGGTTATTGTAGCTACAGGTTCAGCTTACACTAGCCTGCTTGCCCTGTTATCTAAGCAGTGATTTGAAATTAAGCCCTTTTATACTAAAATGCAATATGTTCTTTCTGATAGAACCATTACGCTTGCATTGACAAATGAACGCACGCAGATCCATTGGCCCTTCAGACTAAAAGATGGTGCGCACATGCCCCCAGAAGCTGGGGAAGTGCTGGAATTCAACATGGAAGGAGTGTGGAGGGAAATGGAAAGCCTTGTGAAAGATGGGCTAGTTAAGGATATAGGTGTTTGCAATTACACAGTCACCAAGCTCAACCGTCTGTTGTGGTCAGCAAATGTTCCACCAGCAGTATGCCAGGTTTTGAGCTATTCAGGATTGATCAATAGCTACAAGCCTACAACATGTTGAACAGTTGAAGTCACCAAATTGAACTCGAGTTAACCGAATTATCCTTTTCTTGACATTGTTCAATACAGATGGAAATGCACCCTGGTTGGAAGAACGACAAGATTTTTGAGGCCTGCAAGAAGCATGGGATTCATGTTACTGTAAGATTTCTTCTGGAAATCAGATAGGACAAAGTGATCTCACTAATATTATATGTATCTTCGAAATAAAATCAGCAATTCTCTATCTTAGCATATTTTGATATAAAAACAAAAGGCACTTACCTTCTTGTATACTCTTTTTGTTGCTTTCCAGGCTTACTCTCCACTGGGTTCTTCAGAGAAGAACCTAGCACATGACCCCGTTGTCGAAAAGGTTCCTTCGCTGATTTAACGAACAACACTCGTATAGTATTTCAGTTAAACCCAAGCTCCTAAACTACATTTGGTTTCTAGGTCTCACCCGAAACATTTAACCACAGATAGCCAACAAACTGAACCAGACCCCAGGGCAGGTGCTCATCAAGTGGGCTCTCCAAAGGGGAACAAGCGTTATTCCCAAATCAACCAAGGACGAAAGGATCAAAGAGAACATCCAGGTTTTTGGATGGGAGATCCCTGAGGAGGACTTCAAGGTCTTGTGGGAGGTGAGGGCTGGCATGACTTTTGGTTTAGCAATAACTTAGCATGACTTAGTTATCAGTATGTCCTATAGGTTATACAGCTGAGACAAAACGGTCACTTCACTACTACTGAAAATCTGCTTATCTGATTTGGTAGACTTCTCGGCATCAACTGAGCTTTGTTTTATGCCACTTTAGCACTAAATGAAGAGGCCCCAACAATCTGTGCAGTCTAGTGAGATAATGCCATTTTTCACTCAAAAAAGAATTGAGTGTCCAGGTCGATGCACAAAGAATCGTTTGATCTGTTTACTGCAGCACGGACATTTTCTACGAGTGTTCAGGTACGGTGGGGAATTTTGTAACGACGGCGCGCACATGGCGTCCCGGGTGGGGCCAGGAGGCCAGTGACACAAGCACACAACGCCTGACATGCCAGGCAGCCAGACCGGCAGTCCGGCACGGCCCAGGTTGGCCGTGCTGTGTGGGCCCAGGAAGGGCTCTCAGTCTCAGGCTGTGTTTAGTTCGCGAAATAAAAATTTTTGAATGTCACATCAGATGTTTTGGAATGTTAGAAAAGGTTTTCGGATACTAATAAAAAAAACTAATTACATAGCTCGCCTGGAAACCGCGAGACGAATTTATTAAGCATAATTAATCTATCATTAGCGCATGTTAGTTACTGTAGCACTTATGGCTAATCATGGACTAATTAGTCTTAAAACATTCGTCTTGTGATTTCTAATTAAACTGTGCAATTAGTTTTTTTTCATCTATATTTAATACTCCATGTATGTGCCGCAAGATTCGATGTGATAGTTTGGGGTAAAAAATTTTAGGAACTAAACCTAGCCTCAGTCTCAGTGAAGCCCGAATAGAATAATGGGATGGGACTATGGGAGGGTCTGGCCGGCCCAAACGTTAGCGCACAATAGATTAGGGCACGTTCGCTTCAATTTATCAGTCGTACCGTTTTAACGAAATAACAGTGTTTTTCTCTCGCAACAAATCAACATCAATGTCACCATAAGCAGTTTTTTTAACCAGCCGAACAGAGCCCGGATCTGGTGGGCGAGGAGGCCGGTGCCGCCGTGGTCAGTCTCACACCCAGATGCTCCGAGCCGGCGAAGCTTCGCCGTGCTTTCGTCGCTCCTCCCTTGGTGCCTTGCCGTCGTGCGGGCGTCTGTGCACGTCGAGCTTGTTGAACCGCGCACACCGGCTCCTGTTTGCACATGCACGGGTACCTGCCGAGTGCCGATCGCAGCAGATCTTGCCGAACACGGGGCTCAGCTTCACCACGTACAGTAGTGTTGGCAGCTGATGAGAGGCTTGAGACTTACAGTACTCCAGATCATGGATATGGATATTGTATAAAAACCTATTTCTTTTATATTATTAATTTTGTGGCTAAATATTTCAAATTCGGGATGTATTAGTTTGGAGTAGGAAACATTAAAAAAAACTTTTTGAACAAATAATCGACCTCGCATTTTCGCTGCTAGACAAGATAGCAGTCCAACAACTATCAGCACAGATATGAGGGTGGTGGTTTGCTTGCAGTTCTAACAATGACTTATGAGCTATTTTATTCTATATTTTAATAGAAGAGAGAAAAACTAGCTCTTGATCAAAAGCCAGTCTTATACACATATTTTAAGATTAGGTAAAGTTGTCATGTAGGTCTAATATTGCTAAAAGTTTTGAAGAGATTCTATAATAGTAGCTAATAACTAGCTCTTAATGTTCCGGATGCGCTCCTATATGCACGCGCTAGGCACCACTTCCTTAGTCAAGTAGGCACACCTTTTACCATTTCTGGGAAACACATATCTAGGAATCTGGGATAATATCATGGTACACCATGTGGCGAGACACCACCACGATGTGACCCCACGACTCAACTTTAGTACTTGTCACGTCATATATATGTTTATATGCCAGTTAAGAGAACTAAACATGAGCTAATTATAAAACTAGTTGCATAAGTTGTGGCTAATTCACGAGATGAATCTACTAAATCTAATTAATCCATCATTAGCACATGTTTGCTGTAGCATCACATGGTCTAATCATGGATTAATATGGCTTAATAAATTCGTCTCGAGAATTAGCCATAACTTATGTAATTATTTTTATAATTAATTTATATTTAGTCCTTTTAATTGACATCTAAACATTCAATGTGACAGATACTAACATCCTTTTTACAGCACTACACCTGCAGTATTTTTTTAAAGAACAAATAATATTTTTCTCTCACAACATTTCAGCATCCGTCAAATTTTAGCGAAATGAGGAGGCCTAGTAAAGTTTCAGCCTGTTCGGGAGGCCGTATCGTATCGTGGATTATTTACTGCTGGCTGGTTTGGTGTTAGAGAAAAACACCGTTTTCGGCTGGAAATTTACGATCGTTTACGGGCAGGCTGTTTATTCGTGGAGTCCAAACACCGCAGTCTATACTCCGAGAAACAACCAGTACGTACCTCTGTAGCTGTAGCAGCGCATAGTTGACCCTGAACCTCGACATACTGGACGGATTGGATTTGACGGTTCATCCTGTCACCCATCGGAACCGGCAGCCGCAACGACATGCGCCCTGTCTGGCATGCCGCTGAATGTACTCGAGACAGCTGGCCAACGCCAACGCGGGCGTGTGATCCTTCCGCGGGGCGCAAAGCTACCTTTCCCACCGGCCACCCGACGACCAAGGCCGCTGCGCCCAAAAGCGCCGAACGCCACAGCTCCCCGCAGATCCCCTTGCCGCGCCAGCGCCACCCCGAAGCAGTCGCCGTCAGCCCGTCAGCCGCGCAGCCCCAGCCTGCACCACTGCGCGCAGCCGGCGTACCAGTACGTGCAGTGTGACCTGCGCGGCTGCTAGGAGCGGCCGGACGGGCGAAAGCCTGCGCATGACTGCAAGCCGTTGCTAGGAGCGAGCACACCTTGGGCCTTGGGGAGCTGACTGGCTGTGCCCTACGGAGTACACTACAGCCCTACTGCCGCCCTGTGGGCGGCTTGCCGGGGGCTGGAGACGCCGGACCCGGACGTGCCCAATTTGGCGCCCGCGGCACTTGGCAGTGGCAGCCTTTTGGGTGTCGCGGTCGCCCCGCAGGCAGGCAGTTTCCTGGCTCAACTTTTTTGACGGGTCCCCGATCCAGGGAGCTGCCTTTTCAGTCCGGTCCGCTCTCCGCTGCCGTCTGGGGAGTGACACGACACGACACGCGTGATGGCGCGAGGACGAGGAACAATTCGGGTTTGCTTGCTGCTATCGCCACCGCTACGGCAGCCCAGCCGTTTTGCAAACCTTGCCTTGAACAGCTTTGGTATTCATTGGCTAGCTAGCGCACGTTTTGGCAAACGTACTACACACGGCAGCAATTCGTTCATTCGTGTGTCTGATTTCCAAAACCTGTCAAAAGTGTCGAATGCTCTCTCTCTCTCTTACCAGCACAATAGCTAATTTCCTAACCACTTTTATATATTCCTTCTCTCATACATTTGCATCAGGCAGTGGCGGACCTAGCACTAGGGCCACTAGGGCTATATATTTTAGTCTTAGCCCTTAAGTACAGTGGACAAAACACTATTTTTTCTATAGCCAAGCACAAATAGCAATGATCTCTAATGTAATGGCCCTAGTCTTTGGTGAATCCTGGGTCCGCTCCTGACATCAGGAACCATTTCCTACTCCTTATTCTTTCCAATACCCTTCCACCTTTAGATTGACCCACCGATACGCACGACACCAATACACACGGTAAAGCAGTATCCGCGCGATCGTGACTACGCGCAAAGTTACGCGCGATGGGAGAGGATTAACCAAGTACATAAATTTTGTCGAATGTAAGAGAGAGAGAGAGAGAGAGAGAGAGAGATATTCAAATTCGTATCCTCTTTTGTCCTGGGTAAGTTGTTAGGAATGTTCTCCGTGATAGCCGCAGCGTGACCAGATATTGTGCTCGCGGTTTAATTCCTAATTCCTAATGATGATTGGAGGTGACAAGCTTCCCTGCAGCTTCCTGCCTGAGTTGGGAAGGAGATGAGGGCCATGACCAGCCTATTAACCCCAGGGAATTCGCATTATTGACCCACTAATCTAACACGCATGCCAGGACGACGACTGTCCTTTTGCAATTTGTTGCATGCATGCATGCAGGGATGCCCATGGCCCTGCCGGCCGGCCTTGATTTCATGAACCGCCAATCCACATCCGTCGTCGCCCAAGCTGCATATGACGCACAGTACAGTATGTGTGTACAGTGTCATGCATGTATGTATGTATCTATCAGCCTGTTTTCTTTATTTGCTTCAAAAATTTAAAACCGCCAATGATTAAATGTTTTCTCATCACAAAAACCAAAGACCACCAAAATTTCAAACCAAAGACCAAAGACCAACCAAATGAACAGGCCCTGTGTATGTTTCCAGGTCCAGCCTGCCGGGTTGAACGAATCAAACTTTAAAAACTGTCCCTGAAAGAAATGCATGCACGCTACCAAGCATATATAAGCGCGAGAGACTTGCTTTCAGATGGCGATTGCTCACCGGTCTTTGTCTGAATACTTATTTTTCAACAAAGTTGAAGACAAATTATATATTGAACATGTATGTATGGTTTGTATATATGCAGCCGTTGTACGCAGAAAGCACTACTACCTGTATGTGTCGTCGTACCGCGCTTGTGAAAACGAAAGCGGCTGCTTCCACCGTTGTTCTACCTTCAACGCGCGCGCGCGTGCTTAATTACACGCTCCAGGGTTTTCAAGAATTTTTTTTGTCGTCACAGCAGCATCATATATATATCTCTATCTGATGCTAATACTTACTCCCATGCATGGATCGTATGCTAATAATAACAATGTCATCGATATATAGCAAAAGCAAGGCAAAATTATTGGCATGTTACTGCTTAATCTGTGCCACCAACAAACATAAACTTCTCAGTACTACTAATTTCAAAATTTTGTGCATTTAAAGCGAGGCCTGACGACCTGTATGTGTGTGTGTGGTTTCGATAACGTAAACACAGGAACATCCGTCAAGAGACTGGAAAGAAGAAGAATGTTAGCATACGGCTCGCTGCCAAGCTCAGCGGCGGATTCAGAAAAAAATTTAGGGAGAGGGGGGCTGAACAACACATACCTCCGACTGCTGCTTAGATCTTAAGTCTCAACCCCACCTACACTATAAAATTTTGCCTAAAAATTTATGAAGGCTCAGGATGGTTCCACTGCTCCGGTATAGGTAGGGGGCTCGAGCTCCCCCTGGATCCGCCCCTGGCCAAGCTAGCATAGTATATGCAGTACATATATACGCGTGTACTTTATATGTATTTTTCTTTCCATTCGCATGCAGTAGAATGTGTACACGGGCTACGTACCTTTGCAAGCAAGGCAAGTAGTAGTTACACAACGCAACGCGAGGCAGAGTCCCGGCCCCCACAGAACGAATCTCTCTCTCATGTGCGTAACTTCCATGCATCTACACGAGCTGGTATAGCTCTAGTAGCTTCGCCTTGGCAATTGGTGCATGGTAGTTTTCCAGCCGCGCACGGACGTGTCTGGCGTTCACCAGCCAGCAGCACACGCATGCGTGTCTGCCAAGCTAAGCCCGCCGCGCCGTGCGTGCGACTCGATCAGCTACCTCGTCGTCGTCCGCTGCGGGCTGCGGCTACCTAGCAAGCTAGTTTCCCGCGGGTTCCACCACTCCCCGGCCGCCTAGAGCTCGACCCATCGATCACTCTCGTGCGACGCCGTGCAGTGCATGCGTGCAGACGCTGTTTCCTTGCTTGACAACAAGGCAGCTTCGTGGACACGGTCTTTGCTTGGACTTCTTGCATCGCCTGGTTCTAGTTTAAGGATACATGCATCGCCTGAGTCTTGGTGTTTGAATCTCTGGGGAGAGGTTTCTTGGAGAGAAAAAAGGCATCATTATCAGCGTCAGCCAGTGAGGAACTTTGCAGCAATATGAGTTAATTAACCACAACCAGCAAGTCCATGCATGAGTTTTTGTCTTATTTGTGCTGGATATGGTTGATGACAAATTGGCCGGGTTCCAGTACTGCAATAATGCTAAACACATCACCAAAGTGCACGGCTAATCTCAACTTTTTCTCATTGAGTCGAGCACTCGAGTTCATTGCATAAAAGGCATTCCTCTATCTAATATTCAAGGAATAAAAATTTCTTGGTCCATCATCGCCTCATAAGTTGGAAAGTAAAGTTTGCACATAGGGGCACATGCCCTCATTGTGCACCACATGTTTTGCATTGAGATGTGTGCACAACATATTGTCTCTCTCTTGTTGTGCATTGTCTCTCTCCTGCTGTGCACACATCTCAATGCGAAACGTATGGTGCATAATGCGAGGGCATGTTGTACCCATATGAGTTATATAGTTAGAGCAGCATGCATTCAGTCATAGTATGGAGTTTGATTCTAAGACGAATTAAAACACATGACGTGATGGTCGAATGAATCTCCGAGCCTGGGTTGTCCGAATGACCATACAACAAGTTGTACATTCCATTACAACACATATTTGCTAGTTTATATAAATGACGTACTATACCACAATAAATAATTGTACCACCAATTTTCCAATAAATTTACAAAAAGAACAAGAGGTTATCCTCTGATTCCAAAACCCTGTTTTTTTTAAAATTCTTTTATATACGCACATGAATACATCGAAACAAAATTATGCTAATCATTAAATCAATTGTCTCAACATAACAAGAAAACAAAACTTTTACTAGTACTTCAAGTTTTCATGCGTCCATACTGCTGTCATCCATTGGCCTGCCGTAAACCGTGCGCCATAATGTAACGGTTCACGAGAAAAAGAAATGTGTACCCATTGCATTACCCACTTGAACATCCATGCACCATGATGGGTACTTGGATAGGCCGCCCGGCAAAACAGCTCTATATAAACCCTGTAGCCTTTCTCCGTGCCATCACCTCATCATAACTCCCTCTCCCTGCCTAGCCAACAAGGCCAAAGGGAAAGCCAGGAGCCAGAGCTAGCCAGCGACCGGCATCTCATCCCCGTGTCGGCACGAGCACGACGCATCAACAAGCAGCAGCCGGCGCCGGGAAGGAGAACGAAGTGGGTAATGGGGAACAGCCTTCGGTGCTGCCTGGCGTGCATGCTCCCCTGCGGCGCGCTGGACGTGGTCCGCGTGGTGCACCTCAGCGGGCACGTCGACGAGTTCAGCTGCCCGCTCGCCGCGGGCGACGTCCTCGCCGCGCACCCGAACCACGCGCTCACCGACGCGTGGTCCGCCGGCGCGTCCCGGAAGATCGTCATCCTGTCGCCCGACTCCGAGCTCAAGCGCGGCCGCATCTACTTCCTCATCCCCCCGCCGCGTGCTCCGCGCCGGCCGCCGCCGAGATGAAGAAGAAGCGCAGCAAGAGCCGCGGCAACAGCAATAAGAAGGCGCACGGCCACGGCCACCGGAAGCGCGGCGGTGCCTCTGTGGCAGCGGCGTCGCTGAGCACGGCGGAGCAGGACAACTACCTGCGGGAGCTCCTGTCGGAGAAGTGGGAGGTGAGCCTGAGCCACCACCGGCGGCGGCGGAGCGGCGCCCGCCCCGGCGTGTGGCGGCCGCGGCTGGAGAGCATAGCGGAGGAGCCGTCGTCAGAGTAGCTCTGATTGTTCACGAGTTCTTCTCGCCATTTCTTTGTCCGCCTTTCTCAATCTTCCGATGTGCATACCAGGAATCAGCAGCCGGTGAGGAAGCGTTTTGGGTTCTCTGTTCTCTCTCGCGGCGCGTTCGATAGATGGTCTCCCTGTCTGTGTGTAAGCATCTTCAGGGCAGGGCTGCTTCAGCGCTCTTTGCCTCGGAAGTCGAGTGGAAACTGGAGAGAGAACAAAACACAGAGCGATTGTAAGATCCAAGCCAATCTGTACAAACAGCATTAGTTTGAGTTCATCTGGCTTTTGTTTATCTGCAAGTTGCTTGGCATTGTTGAGTTGTTGTGCGCTTGTGCTCTGCATTTTCGTTTTTCGCTGGGAGTGCGGGAGGGCAGGAGTGCCGCACTACTACCCGCCGCCGTGACGCCGTGAAAGATGACCTCCGGTCAAACCTAAGGCCCCCATGCCATGCTGTCCTGTTGCACTCGGCCTCAAACCGTGCATCTGCTTCTGCACTGCACTGTTAAAGGCGGCGACGTGTCGACGGCAATACCGCAGGAGCGATGGATCCGAAATGTGCGACCGGTTTGTCCAGCAGCTGCCCGACCAGCTTTATGCCCGGTCAGTATTTCTTGTGACTTCATGAGCACGTGTTAACCCAGCATGGTCGCAAGTAAATTTTGACTCTCTTGTAGAACGAAGAAGATGCATGAACTGAGCACTTACAACAATTTTCTTTTGAAAAAAACAATTGTAGCCAAACTGTTATGCCATGGCCTTGCTTTTAGAGTCAACCGTCCTCACAAGATGCGTTAAACCATATTCCAAAAAAAAAAGATGCGTCGTTAAACCATAAAAGTTCTTTATTTACGTACTCATGTCCCAAATTTATTGTGTCATTACTCTCTCCGTCCACAAAATAATGCAATTCTTGCTTTTCGAGAAGTCTAACAGTTTAAACTTTGACTAAATTTATATAAAAAAATACTAACACTAATGATACAAAATAAGTATCATTAGATTAGTTATAGAATATATTTTCATAATAAATTTATTTAGAGTTATAAATGCTAATACTATTTACTATAAACTTGATGAAACATAAGCTAGTTTGACTGACACGGTTCTCATAATTGCATTCTTTTGCGGATGGAGGAAGTACGAGACATTAAGACATAATACAAAAAATCACCCCATCAATTTACATCTAAATTACCCAAAGTACCATTATGATGGATAATCTAAGTAACCCCTTAAATTTACATTTAAATTCCAGCTTCTACAAATATTTGAATAATCTAACCATCAATTCAGCATCTAAACTTACCAATATCTTCTATTATAAAAAAAACTTTATATAATCACTAATTTATTTTTCTAAATTACCCACTTTTTACTAATAGTAATATATATAAAAAGTAACCGATGAAAACAAACTTGTTGTACCATTATATAAACCAAGTATACATTCATGTATATGTGATAAATATATATTTTATATTTCGCCAATCATAAAAATGTTCTCTTAACAACTCATATATGTAAGGTGTGATTTTAGATAATGTCGGATACCGCAAGAAGGGGTACCCTAAGCAAGAACCAAAAATATTGCTTAAACCTTGCAAAAATCAAAGCCGAAAGACTACCGCAAGGTCTCAGCAGATTCTCCGATTCGCCCGAGGCCTTGCGCCGAGGCCTCATGCGAAAGGCCAAAAGCTCCCCGCCAAGACTACCGCAAGGTCTCAGCAGATTCTCCGATTCACCCGAGGCCTTGCGCCGAGGCCTCATGCGAAAGGCCAAAAGCTCCCCGCCCCGTCGAGGCCCTCTCGCCGAGGCCCCGCCGCGAAAGGCCTCGGACGGGATGCCAATTCTCCAATTCGCTCGAGGCTGGGCTCGGCAAACAACCTCGTTACCTCCGTCCCGACCGAACTCCTCTGACAAAACGTCATGTCCGGATTAATGCGCCCAACTACTCCATAAGAACGCCAACAAGACGCTGGTACAAAGGCGGCGGCAGAGCGACCGACGGGACAGGGGACCGGGCGCAGCACGGGTTACCTGCCACTGTGCTCATCACTGTGCTCCCTACTGACAACCGTACTGCCTTGTGCTACCTAACCCCTGCGCCAAGGACAAAGCGGCGTGGAAGGTCAAGTCCAGGTCCCTGTAGTCTCAGCAACAGCAGGAGAGCCCAGCTGCTTGTTCTCCGCCACGTCCGAGACCCCTCGGTAGGGCCTCGGACGTACTGTTCCTTCTCCACCTCGGCCGAGGTCGGGCTCGTCCCGCATCCTCGTCGTCTCCGCCTCAACTGCCCCTCTGGCGGGCCGTCCCATCCATGTAAGTACCCCTGGTTACACCTACGTCAGCCACTATTGGCATGGTATAGCGACAGGGGCGATGGGACGGCGATCAAGTCTCCTTTTTTACCATTCCCTACTAACGGTGCAGAGACTACCGTGCCCTGCGGACCCCCGCTCCGCACTTTTTCACCCAAACCGAGTACAACGCGGACCACCGAGACCCCCGCGTTGTACACAGGTCACCTCCGAGGCCTAGGCAAAGCAGACCTCGGCACGATCAGCTATAGCACCCGCTAGGCCTCGGCACTCCACCAGGTCAAGAGTCCACCAAAGCACGACATGTCTCCGGCCGTGGAGGTCATACTGACTAGACGTCGACAAGGACTCCCACGACCTCAACCATTTCGAACCTGGCCAGCACGGCGCGCCAGACAAGTACTGATCTCCATTCCCAACGCCATGCTGCTACAGGACTAAACTGCAGTAGGCTCCATGTGTAGCTCACTCATGTACTCCTGGCTCCTTTCTTGCGGTTATAAAAGGAAGCGGCCAGGGATAGCTCAGGAGGGGAGAAGAACATACGATAGAACCGCGCTCCCATATTCGCCCTAGACACATCCTGTAACACCCACGCTCCCGAGCTGCTTGAGAGCAGTGTCTCAAGCACCTCGCACCGTCCCACGCCGAGACCTGGGACTAGCTCCCTCTCTCACCCAGCTTGTAACCCCCTACTACAAGCACTTCGGTGCAAGGAATACAAGACCAATCTCTCAGACTGGACGTAGGGCACCAATTGCCTGAACCAGTATAAACCTTGTGTCTCTTTGCATCACCATCCGAGATTAGGGGCACGCAGTTCACTTTTACTGGTTAGTTGAGGACCCCCTGGTCTAAAACATCGACAGTTGGCGCGCCAGGTAGGGGCCTCTGTGTGTTATTGTGATCGTCCCAATAAGTTTCGGATGGCTGACCCCATACACCCACTATGTCTCGGCACGGTGGCCTGGTTTGGGAGCCTAGAATTCATGTCTCTAGGATGTGAGTACGATATGGTACTCCTCACACCCAGAGCCCCACCGGCCGGCGATGACGTCACGCATCGGCAGCCCAAGCGCAGGCGGCGCCCGGGCCGCCGCTCTCGTCACGCTTCGCCGCGAGCACGCACGCGAAGGGACTACTCGACGCCACGCGAGCTCGGCGCACTGCCGCAAGACTCGCCGACATCCCATGCCCGGTGTTGGCTGTAGTCCCCTGCCGGGGACCTGTCTAGCCTAAGCTCGGGGCGGGGAAGGACGCCGAGAAGCGCAGCGACGTCCGTCGTCAAGCTCGCGCCCGCCACATCCTAAGGAATCAACTCAGGCGGAGCGAAGCCCAGCGGTGGCACCATCCCCGTACCCCTTTGGGCTGAAAAACATCGCCGCCGCCTACGCTTTCGCTTACGCCTCCACGCACGCGGAGCCCTCATAACACCACCAACGATTCTAGCCCCTGAGGGAGGCTAAGCCCTGCTTTGGGACTTGCACGTAGGAGCCTGCGGACACCATGCTGCACCTCGGACGCTCGTCGGAAACGCCTTCCGCCAAGGGTTCTACTGGCCAACGGCGGTTGCCGACGCCACCAAGCTGGTACGCTCCTGCGAGGGATGTCAGTACTATGCACGGCAGACACACCTCCCGGCTCAAGCCCTCCAAACCATCCCCATCACATGGCCGTTCGCCGTGTGAGGACTGGACATGGTTGGGCCTCTGCAGAAAGCCCCCGGGGCTATACCCACTTGTTGGTAGCTATTGACAAGTTCTCCAAGTGGATCGAGGCTCGACCGATCACTCAAATCAAATCCGAGCAAACAGTATTGTTCTTCACTGATATCATCCACAGGTTCGGAGTTCCAAACACCATCATCACCGATAATGGGACACAATTCACCAGACATAAATTTCTGACGTTCTATGACGACCACCACATCCGGGTGGTCTGGTCGGTCGTAGGACACCCTAGGACGAACGGCCAAGTAGAACGTGCCAACGACATGATTCTTCAGGGCCTCAAGCCGAGGATATACAACCGGTTGAAGAAATTCGGCAAGAAATGGCTGGTCGAACTCCCGTCGGTCATCCGGAGCCTAAGGAATACACCAAGCCGAGCCACGGGGTTCACGCCGTTCTTCCTGGTCTATGGAGCCGAGGGCATCCTCCCCACTGACTTGGAGTACGGCTCCCCAAGGCTGTAGGCTTACAACGAGCAAAGCAACCGCACTACCCGCGAGGACGCTCTCGACCAACTGGAGGAAGCCCGAGATGTTGCGCTGCTACATTCAGCCAAGTACCAGCAAGCCCTACGACGCTATCAAGCCTGGCACATCCAAAGCCGAGACCTGAAGGTGGGCGACCTGGTGCTGAGACTGAGGCAGAGCAACAAGGGCCGCCACAAGCTGACCCCGCCATGGGAAGGACCGTACATC